CTGCGTGATGGGATCTGAACTTGAAAATGCATACCTCAAAATTTTCAGTGTTCACACATATATTGTATTACAGTTAACAGGTGACAGCAATACAATTGCAAAATTATCTTCATGTATTTGATTATCCAACTTCCAGAATATTTTTGTGCCTTGAATTTACATGAAGATATCACCTTTTTTTAATACACGTAAAAGACTATACACTCAAAACATAAGACTTGAGGAGAGACCTTGCCAGAAGATCTCGAAATGGAAGAAAAAAGCTACTGTGGATAAACCAAGCTTACTGGCAAGACAATTATCTCAGGCATATTATTATGGAAAGTGTATCAAGTATGCTATGAACATAGTATATATATGTATTGCATTGTATCTTACCTACAGTATATACATAAAATTAATAATAATATAAATGATCAGACAATACACTGTGCATAGTGAACACTAAGTTTTTTTTTAAATATTGTCACAGAAAATTCAGAGGCATTTTCCCAAGCAAAGTGTTATAATCTCAATACTAATTTCACAGATATCATTAAATACATGGCAATCCATCCCATGCTTTACCCGCAGCTCGTGTCAAGATGCAGATATCGCCTCTTGTGGAAACCTGCCCACATCTACTAGGGTTGAAAAAACAGTCCAACAGCCTATCAAATATGTCATAACAAGTCACTTGTGATTGTCAGTGCTGGAGCCTTCCTCCTTTTTACATGATACACACTCCTTTCACAAACGAGGTCATACTATTTTTTCATATGACAAGAAGCTAATACTATCCAAAGCGTAAAAATACCTTTCTCTTATATATCCGTCGTTTTTCTTTTTAGAAAATAAAAAAAAAACTTATCATTAGACAACAGGAAGATATTCAGTATATTAAATATATATTTCAGACTGAGAGTTTGAGGCCGGTGACTCGTTACTCATGTATGGGAGGGCTTGTCCCAATCACCACGGTGTCGCGATGCATCACAGATTATCTCCTCGGTACATTTGCAGTCCGCGCATCATGTGTGGTTTGCCTAGAACACTTCACATAATACACCATTCATCTTGGTATCAAAACACCATATTTGCTCATACCTCTGCAAAACACTGTACCTTGCCATACAGTAAAACGCATCTTATATCAACATATAGTATCTGGTCACTTGAATAAACCGCACTTGCTGATGTCGTTTAATGTTAACTCATAATCCAGTTTCACCTTAGGGCATCATGTGTGGTTTGGGGAGTCAACATTTAATTGATAATTCGTGCGCCTCTTGTAGAGCTGAGATAAATTCTTCCTGTGGTGCAATATGAAACAAGTTTTGGGAGGCTAAACTTACTACCGGAGCACTTCACGTCACTCCTCGATAGCGGAAACAGATTTGCAATCACCAGTGTATGAAAGAATGTCATTTAGATACGGGTAACACTTTCACTCTCGCGGGGGACTCTGAAGCACCATTCAGCAGCATCCGTTCCCACCTAAGTGCAACAGATGAGCCAGAAACAGAGGTCGTCCGCGAGCGAGGTCGGGGCAGTCACGGTCGAGTATCAGAGGGGTTGGTCGTCGGACGAGGGCGAAGGCTGGTAGCGCGGGAAGGTGGGCGTCCGGCCGTCCCCGTATGCTGCCTTCAGCTCGTCGTAACAGATGAGCATGAGGCGAGAGTTGAGCGATTTGCGGCAGTCGGGACAGATGCGTTTCTTCTTCTTCCGGTCGCCGGTGGCCATCAGGTCTCTGACACACCTGGAAATGGACGGCAAAAAGTGCGTAATAGATTGTATTAGAAGTTGAGAACAGTGATGATAAGGGGAAGCAAAAAGGTTTAGTTTAAACCATGTCATATTTAGCGAAAAAAGGCAGTATTTCAAGAATGGCTACTCTCAGACGAGGCTTTTGGAAGCCTCTACCACACACACACACACATACATACACACACACACATCGCTTCATGTACAAAGCGACTTTTATAAAATCTGTAATATAGGCCTACAGAGTTGCTTTCACAAAGCAAACGTGTTTCTTGAATTCACACGATTCCGCACCAGTATCTACATTACCATTAACAAACTGCCATGAAGTGTCAGAAAGCCCTAATGATTTCCAAATGCTTTAGTTAATAATTTCCATTTTTGTCATTTCTCTCTCTCTCTCTCTCTCTCTCTCTCTCTCTCTCTCTCTCTCTCTCTCTCTCTCTCTCTCTCTCTCTCTCTCTCTCTCTCTCTCTCTCTCTCTCTCTCTCTCTCTATTTCTTTAGTTCAACCAACACATCCCTTACGCTTTTACCTGTTCTTCTACAATCTATTTTCTTTATCGTAAACTAAAACCAATAGATGTATCTTTATACGTAATTTAATTTGTGTCCTTCCTAAGCTCCTAAAGGCTATTGATCCGTACTGGAGAGATTCGCCATTTCGAGTCTCTAATTATCAGCGGAAATCAGTTTTGCTATAATTCGCTTTTCCTAATCTGACCTCACTTTGCTTTGTTTTCCCGTTTGTGGTTTTA